AACCGCAAGTCTTTGTTGCTTAGACGCAACTAGAGTCTGTTACGTTACCGTGAAATAGACGGCACAACACAGTAGTAATAACAATGTCTTAAGTGACGAAGTTATAATTTATTTTTTTCATACGAAGAATGTTTAAAGTAAAATATGTAATTTTAATACCAGTCAATGTGCCAGCCGGTGGCGCTAGAAATATGCTGGTCAAACGTCAAATAAAGTGCCGTTTTGGTAGAAATATAAAGCAGCTGTTTAATAGGTTGCCTGGAAGAAATGGCTAAGGTCGCGTTAGTTGTGTAATACGTTCATGTAGTACATGTAATTTTCTTGTTGTACAATAAAGAGTACTTACAAGAAGAATTATAGTAGATACCTAAAGATATCTGTGAAATTATAACGTCTATTTAATTTTTATTGTAAAACAACTAAAGAATATTTTACTTGATCTATTTTACAATCTAAATTCTATTTGCTTGGGATTCGAAGCCATAATAACAGTTATCCGTTCGAAATACCCAGCTTTGTCACCTGTAGAGCGACCCCCAAACTCTAGTCATAACTCTAGCCACTATTTCGTTTCTTTTACTACTTTGACAAATACCTTTATTACGAAGACAGAATGTTAAAGAATGATGAATTTGAATTTGACAGCATTGCTACCAACTTAGCCATTTATCCACCAAAAGACATGGTGAAAGTAGTAAAATTAATCGAAATATTGTCTTAACATTCCCTAAAATATTGTATCGTATGGCGTTAAGTTATGGATAGTTAGACGATCGGACTGGTGAATTAATGAAGCATTCTTTCTTTAAAATAAATTATTAAATGAATTAAGTAAAACGTTTACAAATGTACTCACTGTATACTTAATACATTTTGTGACAAAGCATACTTTATATCTTTGATGTGAACGAATGAATATTATATATAATAATAGCATTTAAATATCATGCATAAGTTATGTTTATTTATATTTTATATTAAAACAGGAGAGATTTTATTGTTTGTTTCTTTCTTTGAAACGAATAAATTGGCTCTGAAACTACTGGACTGATTTAAAAAAATATTCACCTACGGGAAGCTTCATCATATCAATAAAATTACTTAATAGGTAGGAGGTAATATTTAGGATAGATTAAAATATATGGTATTTTGAAGATTTCTTGATATAACTTGTAGATTTTTCTTTATTATAAAAAACATCATATAAATAATTAAAAAAGAAAGCATAAACAAGAGGACTAAGTTTAAGTTATTAAGATTATAAATTTAAAATATACAATTTAACTATTGTCACCTTTAACATTTTTTTTTTATATTTCATCTACAAAATCTTTAGCAGAAAAACTTATTAAAGAGCACATTATAAATGTAGACTACTAGATGGCGCTCTTTGTATCTACATCGCGGTATTGTTATGAATTCCATATATACCTTATGTGTGGTAAGTTCACTTGCACTCGGCGTGATTAAAAATTTATCAATTATTTTTGTGAAACGGAAGCAAGATCAGTCTGCGTTACCGTTTGATGTTACTCTCTTTTTGTTCTGTGATCAAAATCAAATTATATAATGATATATGCCTTTTAGACGTCTAAGCGGAATGAAAGTAAATATAATATGTAAAATTTAAGAAGCACATGAATGAACAAAAAATAAACCGCCTGATCACCTTTAAATCACTAATCACCCTTAAAAAAAAAAGACTAATTTTGAATGTGGATAAACAGAAATATTATTTAGGTAGATATTTAAACTTATCATAAAAAGGAATTTATACATTGCAAATTTCGGTGATGTGACGATTAATGAAAAACTTAAAAAAATAAAAAAACAATACTTATCTCAAAAGCAACTTATTCAAGAAAATGCTATTAAAGTCGGGAGGAGGTTGTCGGTTGGTAGGCGTTACGTCACCGAATCGTCAGAATTCAAGAAAGTTCTATTTTTATTAGTATTTCTTTCATGCTTTTTAGTGAAAATGATATTTTTATATAAAACGAACATACATACACAGATCAAACTGATAACTTCCATTTTTTAAATGTAAATGATTTTTTTTTTATTAAAGTAAAGGTTTCGATATTCATATTAGGCTTACGTGGTTTCGACAAAATAAGCTTTTACGTCATACTATACCTACGCATTTTTTTTATCGCAAATCTATAAATGGAAGCAAAGATATAAGGATAATATTATATAATATTATAAGGATTATCCAACTATTTAGTGAATAAAACTCGATCCTAACAACATCTGGTATCAAATAAGTTTGGCAAACCAGGCTCTTACATAGTGTCGAACTAATCATCATCACTAGCCTATTATTTTATCCACTGCTGGGTACAGACCTTCCTTTTGGATAATATCGAATCGAATAGGGACTATGGACAATGGGCACCATGATACACCATGTGGGCCCATTACAGATTGGTGAGTTTGAACGACTGCATGCACAGACGAGAGCAACTGCATAACGTGCCTTCCAAAGCAGACATTAAGATTTAATATTCAAAAGAAAATATAAACATACTATCATAGTTTACCTCTATTCTTAACCCGTCAATTGCCCATTAGAGAAAGCCGCATAAGAAATCTTTTATTTGCAAATAGCTATAACGTACAGACGGGCAGACGTATCAAGGGACTTTTTTCATAATCGTAATAATATTGATGATTACCGTTATGTCTGATAATGTTAAATAAATCGATTTTTATCACAAAGTTGATTTTGTGTATGTCGCGGGCCAATCGTTGAATTGGGCCGATCGAGATATGCCCGGGCAGATCTCTCTTCTTATTTATTAAACACCTTGGAGTACTATTTATCTCTTTAATATCTTTGGTTTCATCTATAATATTGTAAAAAGGTAATATATGTGGTTTTGCCGCTACTTCGCCTGCGTAAAATCACTAAAATTACCTATACGTTGATAATATTTAGTATTTTTAAAAATGATGTTGCTAAAAACTTTAAATTCTCGGAGGTCTTTATGTATGCGGGTGATATAAAATTTGCACGAAAACACAATCCATTATATTGTGACTATCATATAAGTGGAAACAAAATACAAAAGGTAGAGACAATTAGAGATCGGGGTGCTCTGTTTGATAAAAAATTAACTTTTATACCTCAAATAGATAGGTAACACAGCCAGCAAAAAATCCAGGGCATTGGGATTTGTTATAAGGAATACCAGACTTCCATCATGCTGCTACTAAAATCTTAATTTACAATAGTTTAGTGGGAATTATATTGGAATATTGCAGTATGGTGTGGAGACCACATTACGCCACACGCATGTCGCTCAGAGCGTATATAGAAACGTTTCCTTTGGCACCTCTCTTAACGCATAAGACTAAACAGCTAAGATCATATAATTCTAGATTGCAATTAATCAGGCTGGATTCTCTAGCATTACGCAGAGATCACTTGGACATGCTTTTTCTTTACAAACTAATGAGAGGTAAAATAGACAATTCTAAATTACTGAGTTATATCCGATTTCAAATTCAATCAAACATCCCGCGTAGTCGTATCACACCTCTATGTCCTATAAATATAAAAACAGTATTCGGTTTAAATTCGCCGGTTGTCAGACTTTCTAAAACTTTTAATTCCTGTAGCGATTTACTTGAACTACATTTTGATTCTTACTCTATATTCCATAAAAATGTTTTAGATTTTTCTAAAATATAATAAAGTTAGTATTGTTCACCTTCATATAATAAAAATATAAAGATATTTCTTGTATAATAGAAAAGAAAGGAAAAAAAATAAATGACTTATTACTTATGTATTAATTTATTTTGAACATATATGTCTGTGATTAATAAAAAAATAGATAGATATTGTAAGCACATTATGCATGGGAAGCTGCAATAAGTCGAACAAATATGAATGTTATCTATCATTAATATTATGTATCATTCTAAACAGATGTTAGTTAGTCAATTAAAAAAAAATAATAGATTTCATATTTTCTACTAAATATAATTTTATTTATACGGAACTTGTAAAACAAATGCGAAATACTATTATCGTTGTTTTATGTTTTATCAGATAAGAATGCATTATCAATTGGACTAGCGGTTAGTTAAATTCGTTTTTATTTCTACACAGATAAGTTTGAAATTAGCTAAGGTACCATACCATAAGGGAAATTCAGATTGAAGATATGCTTTTTGAACTTCCTTCAAATAATATCATTCAGTCATAGGTGGTATTTGTTTTATGTTGCTGTAGAATAGAGAATATTATAGTTTTTATCTTTACGTGAATGTTTCAAGTTTTTACTTATAAAGGAGTATAAGGTTAGATATTGAAAATATATTCTGCTTGTTTTGTTTCTTTTTTTTCATTTACGCTGCCATAAATATCAGTTATCTATACTGTCCCAAACTAACTCGGCGTTTACGCCCATTATCTTTTTACACACAATTTAAAAACTTACATTTTTTAGTTTATAGAATATAGATGAATATACATAGTATATAACGATATTTTGTATTATGAAGGATCATACTGAAATCTAATAACTATAAATTGAAAACTTTTGATATTAAGACATTGAAAGTTGCAGATTTTTTTCATTTTGTAATATTCTGACGTGAAGCTATTTGTACAATAATTTGTAAATTGTTACAATTCGATTCATCGAATATCAATCTATTTTCAAGACACCATACCTATTTTTATTTTTTATAGATATTATAGTGATAAATAGTAACATAAACATACCTATATTTTGGCAGTTCGAAGTTAAAACAATAAAAACCCTTCTTTTACACTGCATCCGTTTTTATACCAATGTAATTGTGTAATATTTGTTTTGGTGGTAAAATTTAGAATTTTAAACTTTATCTTTTTTTTTATTTGAGTTCGGGTTTTAACAATCAAAACTGAAATAAGTAATTATAAGAATAGCATAATGAGTTTTTTTGGTATAACCAATTTATTGGTACTTGGCCATAAATCATAAAAAAAACTTTCTTTTTTCCAGAACCGGTATCCAAAATGTCGCTCGAACATCCAACTGGTGAAATGTCCCAGAAGATCAGGGAGGAGTTGAATGAGAAGCCGGAGACCAGGGACCAGGACCTGGCCATCATCAAGGAATGGCTGAAACAGGAGCCACATCTACCTGACGAATTTGGTAAGTGACAATTAAATATTAATCTGTTTATAATCATCAGCTTGCTACATCTTACCGTGAAAGTAGTGAAAGTTGTTTAAGGAAATGCGAATGTTTCTTGATCTTATGTTAGATAAGCTCTGAATTATTTTAGTATATTCTGATGAGTATACTTGGTATATTCTGAGAAGTATTCTAATGCACCTACCTATCTAATAGGTATTTTTTAACAGAATAGTATACCTTATAATAATAACTTATAGTTTTAGACTCAGTAACAAATTCATCATAACATAATAGTGTTCAGTTACAAATTATTAAAGAAGGATAAACAAACATTAATTTTTATTGGTTGTATAAGAAGTATCAATACACCGGACGGAGTTAAAGTAATATTCTTTTTAACTTTGATCAATAAGAATATTTACACCCGACATGTCAACACTATTGTTCGAGGAAGACATACCATAGACTAATTTGTTGACATAAACAGCATGTTCGCCTTGAAACCATACCTTACCCTTCATTGAGACTTAATGGAAATAAACCTTATGGTTCGAGAAAATCGAATTTTGTTACTTTAAAATAATAATCTTTATGACATATCACGAAAACAAAGAATTCGATTCATCTAATATATAATCAAATGAGATCATGCTTGTGCGAATTTCGACAATTTTATTCTATACTCTCACGAGATTACGCATACAGCTCATAATTGATTAACACTTTTCGCACTCTTGGGAATTAATAATACTTGAATAAATGCTTGGATTAATTATCTCCAAAATCTAAAGGGTTCTACATGGGCTGGGAAAATGAATAAACTATTCAATGTATTTGTATTAGGCTACGAATTTGAACGAAGATACCTTTAATTTTGTTTTTGATCTATTTATAATAGAAGAAGACGAACTTTTCTTTGTTGTCGTGTTACCGGTTTAAATATTTCCGGGGCTTTCATTGTTATTTTTAATTCCATAAAGTTCACCAGATCAAAGATTTTGGTGTGCATTTAGTTAATAATGATCGCATATAATTGAATATTTCCAAATAATATTTGATATTCCTTAATAATTAACTTTAATAGATTTTGACTAGTGTTTTGTTTGAATTTCGAATATTTGTGATTTTACTTTATACCTTTATTGCAATGTTTTTAAATATTTTCCATTATACTTTTATACCTAGTTTTCCGAGTATTTTGTAGCAGTAATTTTTCCCAGTTTGTAATAGGTTGATAACTCCGTATAGTATATAAATTACAGGAAATAGTTTCTAAGTGCTCATATAAATTACAAAATGGCAAACCTTGTAAAATATCTCTTTATTAGTTCCAGTACTAAGCATATGCAAAGCAGTTTTCTTTAAATTAGAATGAAATCAAAAACGTTTATTTCAAAGAACATCTAGTCAATTATATTCGCAATTGAGTAAGACAAAAACAATAAGCGCACTAAATATTTTCACACAAGCGACTTATCTATCAGTTGTTGTTTCCAGAAAGTATTAAAATCGAGTAGTTTACAAGCATTTGTGACTTTTCGCTACTAGTCAGCGTATTTTCCTCAATGTTCAGGCAATCCATTCAAAAGTTTATTTATCACGTATGTTGTCTTTTTGGAAAGAATAGTATGGAAAATATCGATGGGATATTGTGCAAACGTGTTACATACATCTGCAGTGGCGTGATAGATCTAACAGTATTGTCGTGTTGTTTTCAACTTCTACATTTTTTATAATGCATCAATTTAAATATTGTTTAGATGATCAGCGCATCATGACCTTCCTTCGAGGATGCAAATTCTCCTTGGAGAAGACCAAGCGTAAGCTGGATATGTACTTCACCATGAGGACCGCTGTTCCCGAATTCTTTAATGACCGTGATGTCACACGCCCAGAGCTCCAAGAGATTCTTAATATTGTGTAAGTTCCTCCGGACATCTATGTCTAAGAAAAAAATAGAAAGTATTGTAAACATTATGAAATTTTTAAAGGAAGTTTGTGATTTTTTTTTTAAGTGGTTATTTATTTTTTTCAGTCAAATGCCACCACTTCCCGGTCTAACACCCGAAGGACGCCGAGTTATCGTCATGAGAGGTCAGTAACTTTTGGAATTATCAAAACCAATCGATGAAACTATCTGAATATTGACAATAATTCCTAATAATTGTGAAAGGAATATTAAAAATCCTTCTTAATTTTTTTTCTTAGGATAATTTGTAAATATCAATAAATTTAGGAATCGTTGCTTGACTGTGTTTCAAAGTGTATTATAATTTCTATAAAAAAACTCAGAAAGTTATGACAGTATTACATCTTAGGGATACTATTCTATATTTGGCTACTTTCCTCTATATCAATTTTTTGCTCTTAATAAGATACAGTCTGCTATGATCCTTTTGCAATGTCATTTAGATTAAAATATCATAGCCAGAGTTTATATTTAGTAAAAGAAGAATGTATTAGTAAAATCATAATTAATTAGTTATGAATAATGATAAAAGTTATCTATGAAAAATATAAATATTCACTATAAATTATTAATAAAATGTAAACGTCATAAACTATTTGATAAATATTATCCATTGAGTTATTTATGATCTTTGTTTCATTACTTTTACTGAAGTGATTAGTTTAATTCTTGATCCTATCTATGAATAAGATAGCTTTATGATATTGCCTGTTATTTATATCCCCACAAAAGAAGTCCAAAATACATGCATTATTCAAGAATTGGAACACTAATTTGAATATAACTTAACTCTAACTTTCAATCATTGTGAGAGATACTTGTGATATAATATCATCCTATTTGTTTTCACAGGTCTCGATAAAGACGTACAAACGCCAAATGTGGCGGATGCTTTCAAGCTAGCTCTCATGTTGGGTGACGTCAGATTGGCAGAGGAGAAGGTTGGAGTGGCTGGTGACGTGTATATCCTAGACGCGTCAGTGGCGACACCTACCCACTTCGCCAAATTCACCCCGACTCTTGTCAAGAAGTTCTTAGTTTGCGTACAGGTTAGTTCAATTTTATTCCTATAAACTTTTAGAAACATCCTCTGGCTGCTCCCGTAAATGATTTTACAGTTTTGATGATTTTGCAATAAAAATTGGACTTTCATTAGTATTGCACCATACAAATTTGGCACTCAGTACCACCACCTATACTGTTTTCTACAAGATTTTCATCAGCTCACTTTAAATGTTATCAAATTTGGCTAGTTAAATTTTACTCGTTAGAAAAGCATTTATAACTTAAATAACAATTAGATAACGGCCGGAATACTATCCAGGGTGTTATCATAGAACTGGGAATTAGCCATATAAACTTTTTTACTTTATATATGTAGTGAATCTGTCGATATTGAACTCTTTTGATTTGTTTATTTAAGACTCTAGCCCAAGATTACACTCAGGGGAGTCACAGGGTTCAATTTTCACAACTTTAAAGAAGTGACATCATCAACTTCCTTGTTTTAAAAAGTCTATTTTCTTTGTTCTTTCAATAGGAAGCTTACCCAGTAAAGCTGAAGGAGGTGCATGTAATCAACGTGTCACCCCTGGTCGACAAAATCGTAAACTTTGTCAAGCCTTTCATTAAGGACAAGATCAAGGAAAGGGTAAGATTTAGTTTTCTTTTATTTAAAAAGATTTATATATAAATATTCTTAAAGCATTTTTCAATGCTTAAAAAATCCACTTTGTGTAGGTACAAAGATGGATTTCGCTCTAAGATGGGACTCGAACCCATGACTGACCCACTGAGCTACCTAGAACCTAACAGGACTGACAAATAATGAAAAAAATATATTCAGAAGTAAAATTATTTGTTTTTTATATAGAATAGAAAAATATTTGTATTTTTGCTTTATTTTAAAAATTATCAGAGTCCCTGTCCGGTAAGTAACTTGTGATTGTTAATCACAAGTTACTAGATCAGTTATTCAATTACTTTTGCCTTTTTTGTCAATCGATCACGTGTCCATCTAATAATTTATGTAGTACGATAATTTGATATTAGACCTACGATACTTTGATATTACGTACATACGATAATTTGATATTAGATATTAGACCCTTATATCATAATGGTTGTATTACTAAAAGTTCATGTATTTTTCTAATTATTATCCCCAGATCTTCCTTCACACTGACACAAATGATCTCTACAAATACGTTCCTAAGGAGATGCTCCCATCTGAATACGGTGGTAACGCAGGCTCAATGTCTGACCTCCACAGTAAGTATTTTGATCTTTCAACCTTAAAGTCAATGCCATTTGACATAAATTTACGCAAAAGCGGTCTATAATAATAATTTTTAATGTTTGATAATTTATTGGCGAAAAAAATTCGCTACTTTGTCCAAAGACGCATAACGTAGATACAAAGTTCTAGAAAATACAGAAAATACTTATTAATTATACCTTTTTAAAATTACTGGTACAAGCCTAGCTATAAATTGTTTTATTCTATAGACCAATATACGAACCCCAACAAAATTAAAAGTTTATCATATCTTGGTATTTTGATTGTAAACTTTGTAATTTTATAATAGAAACATGTAGTATTATTGCGGATCTGGGATAACACATTATACGTATATTTTTTATATATGTCGTACGTAAGAATAATCTTAAATCTTAAGTATTGACTTCTTAATATGAAACAACATGTAATGCCGTCTTATAACCAAATCAATATTAAAAGCAATTTTTATGGATGTAACCTTTCGACTCCCAAACTGAATCTATTGAAAAAACATTTGTCCTTGCAGATACGGTAGTATAGCGAGGGTGATGGATAGGGAATCTCTTTATAGAACCCTTCTTTTCAAAATGGCGATAAAAGATATATATTTATGCTTTTGATAAGATATACGAAGACGAGGTTACAGTCGCCAGCTAATAACCTTATAAGCCAACGTCCGCAACAAACTGGTTTTCAAGTATTATTTATGGAGAAATAAATTATAAATTTGTTGTTTTAATATGACGCACTTGAAACAAAACACTTAAATAAAAAAAAATGTATAGCTACGATTTACCTTTCAAAGACTTAAAGTTTAAAAAATTAACGAATTTTAACTGTATATGAAATTAAAAGAGTCGTTATCTTCAATAAGCATAAAAATGTTTACACTACGTGATAGTAAGTGGTAATGTGGAAAATATAATAAAATAAAAAACTAATGGATATATTGATAAATATTAATAAATCGCAAAGAATGTACGGAAAATGACAATAACAATAATAGAGTAAAAAACAAAGAACAAAATCACAAGACAAATAGATCAAATTGCAAAAATATAAAACCTATAAAAAGGGAAGGTGTCTTTCCAGCCACTGGATGACCAACACTATATTTTAAGCATCAAGCTTATGTTATTGTTACCCTGACTCTTGGAATAATATTAGCAATACATTACAATAATGTTTGCAATATCTTTAGAAGTAATATAATATTAATAAATAGAAGAATATCTACTAATGAAAGGAACGGTTTTGTAAGTGTTGTTAATATTACATGGAATATTGCGCAGTTTCTTTTACTCATATTTCTCCACAGTTAAAAGATAAAAATGTTTGTATTTATGTTGCCTATTTTAATGAAGAGGATATTTTTGCAAAATTATCTTAAACTGAATATGGAATTTTCTTGATTGGGCACAGGCCTTTCCTTTAAATGAAATCGAATATGGAAAAAGGACCAATGCAGGCTCAATGCATATTAGTGGTTGTTTACGACTGCATATGACGGAACCACCGGCTTAACTTGCCTTTTAAATTACGGAGAAGTTCGGTATAATAATGAATAAATACTTTATTGCACACAGTAAACAAATATTCATATACAAGAATAATAATAACATATACGCAAAAGGCGGCCTCATTGCTAAGGCAGCAATTTCTATCAGACTATCCTTGGCTAAGAGAACTTCTTAGTCAATTAAATAATATATAACTCTATTTTTTAAGCTTCAACCTTTCTTTCCAGATGCATGGGTGAAGAAACTAGAAGAATACAAAGACTGGTTTGCGGAACAGGAGAACATCAAAGCCAATGAAGCCTTGAGACCAGGAAAACCTACCAACTACGACGAACTATTCGGCATCGACGGATCGTTCCGTCAGTTAGTCATAGACTAAATTAGCTTAGGAGCATGATATGGACGCAACCAACAAAGACAAAAGAAAAGTACTGACAAAATAAATATTTAACTGTTTTAATTAATAACAATATCAAAATCCTCAAAGTCTCATCGTATAAGTAAATCGTAATGTTCAAAGAACATTGTATAGACTGATCTCAATATTTTTTTTATATAAATTGTTATGTTATAATTGTTATGGTTGTCGTCCACATCTTATAAAGTATAGTATTAGCATCTCTCTACTATCGCTTATCTTTTACCGTTGTATTGTCCTTAACCAAATGTTTTATATCAACCAAAGTTATTGCTCAATTTTAGTGTTTATAAAGAGCTTTCGAAACTCTTGTTTTGAACCTGTTAAGCATTTGTCGTAATTAAACACTATCTTTTTTAATGTTTTTTTTTTTCTTATTTATAGTTATGTTAAACCCTGAAATTCTTCAATATGGCTAAAGCTTTCTTGTGGAAACTTTATAATGAATTGTAGATAACATTGTTACATAGGTCTTTTCCAAAGAGGTTTCAAGAGCTAAAACTTGCTTACACCTAATCATAATGATCCATAAGCAAAATTGTTTTGAAATATTGGAGTCATCTTAATAAATGTCAAATCTATCCAATTTTAATTAAAATTCTTCACAAACATTATGTTCAAGTTATGCTAAAACATTTTTTGTGAAAATATTAACTTATCGCCAAAAAAACTAGCCTTGTCAGCTTTGGTAATAGTAATAAAAAAATATTTAAAACTTTATGAATCTGCATCGAATTAATAAATAAAAGAAACCTGCTATTATGACACAAAACTCCCACTTTTTTGTATAGGCAAGCAAAAAGAATAATTGCCTTCAATATCAGGAAAGAGATTATAGAAATATATCTTTTAAATTAGTTACAATGTATGCATTAAGAAAGGGCCCAAAAAACGTTTTTGAATATAGAATATCTATTTTGACGATTGTGATTATTATGTAAACTTTAGGAATAAATTTCCTAAAGAATCTCGACATCTAATAAGATGGCGCAGTCCTAAGTATATCTACAGCATTACGATAGAGCCTAGAGAAAATCGAGACAAAACAGAACTACTGATCCAATTTGATAATTTAGGTTCATCATCGGGTATACCACCATTGTACCAAATTTTCCCTACCCAAAATGGTCTATATCCGATAGAAAAATTAATATCAAAATCAGATTATACAAAAATATAGATGCCTGCAGAATATAGGTACATATAGGTCTCGTTTAAAACTAAATGATATGATAGAGCGACAATATTTTAAGGATCTTGGGTAAGGTTGTTCAATGACATCGTGTTCTTCGTTTGTCATTTTCTTTAAAATGTTCAAAAACGTCAAAATTACGTTCAGCAAACTTTTTACGGTGGCTTATATGCGTTGTAAAACGTTCTTATCTTTATACAGAACTTAACGGTTTAAAATTCAGAGGAATCGTCAAGAATTCACATAACAGTCTACAATGTAAGTTCGTTCAACCTAAAATAACCGGATAAGATTAATTGCGATTATAAATCTGCGATGGTTACTTTTTCCAATAAACCCAACGTTTCTTCCCCAAGTTAGCACTAAGCATTTAATTATTCAATATTTGTCCGTATTTATCTATGTGTTTACGCCCAGTTAAATAAACGGTACGCTATTGTTTCATAACCTCTAGCAGGTGTCATAATATGTGCTTCGTACATTTATAAGAAGGTGGCAAACATTTTCAATCATAATTATGGCTGCGATCGCTTTTCTCTCTAGTCATAACTCTTGCCATATAAGACATCTTAGCGAATTTTATGATGAAATTTCGTTTCATATTTCTACTTTAAGATGTCTTTTGTTCGATAAATGACTAAGTTCGAAATACTGCTATCAAATCGATATTCATCATTGTTTATCATTCGTGCTTCGAAATAGAGTTAAGATATCGTATCCTATGGCCAGAGTTATAACTAGAGTTAGGCGGCAGAGCTGAATATAGAGGGGTAAATAGTTGCACTTGCCTCCCTCCCGAGGCAAGAAAATAACGAGCTTCAGAAAAATTCTCTTTTATAATTCATACAATATGACTTTAACTAATTTAAAAGCGCATTCCACCAATGACAGGAGTCACCTAATTCCTGATTTTATGACACACGTTATGTGGTACCTCGCGCTTAATACTTGCGTAACATGGGAGATAACTGATATGTAAAGAAGTAAAAGTAATTTGGTTTCTTTCAATTAAATTAAATTGTTAAAGTGATTGTTAAGATTAGGATTAGGAATCCGACCTGCGTATCTGAGTAGTTAGCTCGATGGATTGAAGGTGTCGCCATCTCTTAGGTCCCGGCTTCCATTTCCGGTCGGATCAATAAAAGATCTAGGTGTTGTAGTGCCTTCATTGTCTCGAATACTCCATTATACGGGGGCTTTTGCTACTCATATTGGAATCTAAACAATTTATTAGAGTATACAGATTATGACCTGGTTTACTGTAAATAATCTCCAGTTAAATGATAAAAAAAAACCAAAGGTATAAAGTTTATGTTACCTAATGTAAAAGCTGAACTTATAGAAATTAAACTTAATGGTAAAAAGCTCGAGTTGGTTGATTCAATAATCTTCTTAGGTGTAACGCTGGATTCTAAATTGCAATGGCATCCTCACATATAATTATTGGTAGGAAAACTAAGTTCAGCTGCCTTTGCAATAAAAAAAATTAGGCAACTTACAGATGTAGATACCGCTTATTTCATTCAAAAAAAGCAGCTCTTGCCGAGTTTCTTGCCGGTTCTTCTCAGTAAAAGATCTCCCGCCGTAGATTTACGAACCGATGGCGTAGCTCACGACTTTCACAAGTGCTTGTAACAGCCTGGACTGAATAAATAATTTTGATTTGATTTGATATGTTGGAATCAATTTTGTATTCTCAATGCTATACTGATAAATAGTTTTAAGCATTTTTGGGACTCGAACCCACGACCTTTCGCGATCCGGGAGGTCGTTTAAACCCATCTCGAAGTATCTGGGGCTGGTAGATTTACTAGGCATTTTTCATTAAAAATATTTATTTAATGAAAAATGCTTAATAAAATATTTATATATTTATTTATCCTAATATCTAGTTTAGTGAAATTGGCTGGTAGATTGCCACGAAACAAGAATTCGCTTACTACGCCAATAAAGTACTGGTGGAGCGAAGGTCTTTCCATAGTTTATTTATATATTCCGCAATATACACATTACCAACAGTTTGCCGTAATTTTCTACTCATAATTGTTAAATAATTATGTGTAATCTAGTCGGTGGATGTCTAACTACGTAATACTTCACTTTATTAGCGATCGTTACCACGGAACTATTTGATCCTCCCATAACCCATGTTAAAGCTGGCATAAGACAAAAGACTCTTCCCGTCCTTCTCATTAAGATATGATATCAGACGGTAGACAGGAAAACAGGATGATTGCGCGTAATTAACTGTTAAGACTTTTTGAATTGGCCATATACGATTATTGGCTATGGCTATATACAAACCCACACGTTTATCTTTAATTAGGCTCTTCGATGAATCTAGTACAGGCATTAGATGTTACCAACTAGGCCAGTAAAGCAATAATGATGTGAAAGAATTGCGAAAAGCATACAGCAAAATTACAATCTCCTTTGTCAAGTGGTTTGCATGTTATTTTCACAATATCGTTATGCCATGACCGAGATTCGATATCGGCTGCTAAAGCTAAGTAGATGTAAAGCAGAAAAACAGCACTCATCCCGAAGGAGAACCAGAATGTCTTCAACAGCATCACCACAATCACCTCCTGTTACAGTGAATTTTAATGAGCCAACATCTTTTTATTATTGCCCTCTTTATTTTATAGCGGAAGTAAAAAAGCGGTACACAAATTGTAACGAAATACTCTGTCAATCCGACCGTGAAAAAACCAAACTCGTAATACTGCGATTCGATCAAGTTGTGTCACTCGATAATTGTACTGCATAATATTTGAAACGGGAGCTCCATAGCGCAGTGACTGCGAGTTGGAGGTAAAGCAATCTTTGCAAAGACTGGTCATAGGATGGGTGATCAATAAATTTAATATCTCGAGCTCTTCCGTGTGTTATCTGTCTATGTGTTGATCTGTACGGCTGTCCATTTTTTCTTCGGATGTATGTATTCACGGTTCAATGAAAAGAGACCACTTTAAATAGACACAAATATGTATTACAGGGGTTAATATCAAAAAGTCAATATTTCTCATACCAATAAAGCATAGAAAGATATTTCTGTCTTTTACATGCGCGTCTTTTTAACTTGAAATATTTAAATAAGGAGTTTTTTTACTAACTTTCTACACTTTCCCAATTTAAGCTCTGCCTCTGTGGTCTAAGCTTGACAGAGTGGTCGTCTTTAAGCACACGTGTAGAGGCATGCCCACCATGGTCTTCATTTGGTCGGTCCATCGCATCGCTCACCCGAACGGTGTGGTCCCTTTTATTCTACCTACTAAGTTCTAAGATAGTTTTAATTTACAACATAATTACTTTCACTTCCTTTAAAAACAAACATTTTGTCTCGAAGAGTGTATAATCTAAGTAAATATCTATTTCTATTCCAATTATCTAAAACTTTAATCTCCGACACGGTCACTCTATTCAAAGTCAAATTTCACGAAACTTATCTGAAATCTAAACTTTGTTATTATATTAAAGAATTTCGTACAAATTTCATATCGTGCATTTTCCATTCAGCCATAGTTATCTGAGAAAGAACGCTTTGTACTGCTGATGTAACACATAGTTAAGATCCCGGTTTTGTTCGAGTTCAATTTTTCTGCAATAATGAGTTGGTTTGTAACTTAACTAGAAAACGAAATTATAGTTTAGAAACTTTCAATTATTGTTTAAAATCAAATATTGTTTTGTTAGTTTTAGCCTTATTTTATGATTTAAATCAGCTGAGTTACGTATTGAAAAAAAAATAGAAGATTTATTATATAACAAAACTGGCGGCCTGCCTCAGATTTGTAAGGGTATCGAAATATATAATTTTCATACGGAAGCCTAACTTTTTGAAAATATTTTATTAACCAATGAAAATGAAGGATTCTAATGGTATTTCTTTCACTAACATGCTAACATAAAAATGAACTTAATTTAGTAACATTAATAAAGGTAAATTAATTATTATCAATACTTTTCCCGATTACTTACTATCAATATATAGCTTCACCGGCTAATTTAGATGAAACATGGAGAGCCAATTATTAAAATAATTATTTCCCTTCCTGTAATTGCTATGAGAACTTACGAGTACAAAGAATTACTTAATGTAGGTCACGTATTGCACTTAAAAATTAACGAATTTCAAGTCTAAAGAAACAAAAACCGGCCAAGTGCTAGACGAACTCACGCACGACGGGTTCCGTATCGATAAGGAGCAAAAAAAT